ACCTCCCGATTGCAGTGCTGGAATATCGGCGCTCCTCGATCTTTGGGCCACTTGCGCTTCCGACTGCAGTCTATGTGAGGAACCCACTCCTGATTGCCACTAACAAAGTAGTCTGGTCAAACAAGAGACAAACGATAAATCAAAATGTCCATGCAAATCTGAAGGCCTCTGACGGCGGTCGTCACCAATGTCACGAAACCTCCTTTTTCCATATTTCTCGCTTTTTGAGAAGATATTGAGGAACAGCTATTGTGTTCTGAAAACTTCGAAAAAGCTGCGTCAGTTCCCGAGCATTGCTCCGGAGACTGTTTCCAAACAGCTCCAGAAGACACTCGTCATTCAGAGGAACAGGCCAAAAGAATTTGTGCATTTTTCTCGAGTTTCTATACTTAGGTAACCAAATGTTGGCTATAAACTTCTTGGCTATAAACGCTATAAGAAACCACGACAGAAAAGCTATAACGAGATGACTGACGAGGGTTTACATACGTTTTGCAATAAAATGTTCAAAATTACTTTGAAGATTTTACAACATGCAGATCGAAATGGCCAAAGACTTTTCCGACAACCTAATATTTCTTGCCCCGTATTGCTAGCTTCCGGTAAGCAACGGAGATCGAGCGTAATCACAGTATCTCTAGCTCTAGCTTGAGCTTTGCTTTAAGACTGGTTCGTGTACTCATTAGCAGTCTCGAGCCCTGTATTTCTTCGCCACGCTAAAGGGTTTACCACAGGAAGCAAATTGAAAAAGTAAGCGACTACTGAAGGTTAGAAAAATGCATTGAAAGAAATTGTGGCTTCCTTCTTATGGAAGAACCATCGCATTGGGTTTGCCAGCCTAGTGGTGAGTCCTGTTTTACACCATGACAGAAGAGCTTTCTAACTTTCCGTTTCGCCTTCAGGTTGCTGAAAAGGCAAGTCTTGCAGATTCCAAACTTACCTGAATTATTAAACTTGGAAAATGTATTGTGCGATACACACAGAAAACAGCAACGCTCGTGTCTTATTAGAAAAGCGTATTAATGGATCCACCAATACAAGGGAGGTCATCATCGACGTCAAGAGAGGGGTTCGACAGGGCGACACCATCTCGCCCAAACTCTTCAGCGCCGCTCTCGAGAACGTCATGCGTCAACTGGAATGGGAAGACATGGGAGTGAAGGTCGACGGCCGGCAACTACACCACCTTCGTTTTGCTGACGACATCGTTCTTATAACGCCGAACATCGAGCAAGCGGAGCGAATGCTGGCTGATTTCGACTGCGCCTGTGGTAAGGTTGGTCTACAGCTGAACCTAACGAAGACGATGTTTATGAGAAACGGATTGGTTCCTGATGCCCCATTCACGCTCAACGGAACGAACATCACCGAATGCTCCAGCTACGTGTACCTAGGTCGGGAAATCAATATGATGAACGATCTAGCTCCAGAGCTGAGCAGGAGGAAACGAGCGGCTTGGGGAGCGTACAAGAACATCGAGGGAGTAGTGAAGAAGACGAAGAACATCCGGCTCCGTGCCCACCTCTTCGATTCCGCTGTCCTTCCTGCCCTAACCTACGCCTCAGAGACTTGGACTCTGCGCAGGCAGGACGAGCATGCGGTCAGCGTTATCCAACGCGCTGTCGAGAGGACGATGCTAGGAGTAACCCTATACACGCAAGTGCAGAGGGGAATCCGGAGTTCGGAACTACGCCAACGATCGAAGATCAGGGACGCTGCCGTTTTCGCCAAGGAATCGAAGATAAGGTGGGCCGGACACGTCATGCGATTTTGCGATGACCGTTGGACCAGAGCGGTTACCGACTGGATCCCTCGGGACGTCAAACGAACACCTGGACGACCGCCGGCCCGATGGTCAGACTTCTTCACGAAAGCTCTGAACGAAAGGAATGATGGACTTCGTGTCCCTCGAGCAAGGAGGATCCACTGGACCACCCTAGCACGCGACAGGGACGAATGGAGACGTTGCTGGCGCCCGCTCGAGCAAATCGACGATCAACGGGACGACAGGTGATACAGGTGATATCGATTAACCCCTTTTATTTGTGTGTATGGATGAAAAGTCATGCGGGACTCCTTTGGTCGCGGAAGGTGTCGTAAAATTTTCGCGATCGGCCAAACTCGACGGGCGGCACTGCAGCAAAAGTAGGCGTGGGTTACGGTGGGTCCTTATGGCATGCAATTACACATATGTGGAACTTCACGAAACACGAAACATTTTCGAAATTGATTATGGTACACTTGTGGTGGGTCTTCTTTTTCGTTTATTTTCATTCATTGAAGCGTGGATCGTCACTAGGGACAGGAGGCGGCGCCGCCGTCAAATAAGATGTACCGCCGCGGCAATGCACACACTGCGCTATAGCCTACGCGCAAAACGTTTAAAAAATGGGGTTAAAGGCTTGGAGCGTTTTGGCAAATATGGGTATGGGTGCTATACAAGTGGGGTGAGCACGCTCAGCTTTTCACGCATGTCAACATGCTGCCCTCACCCCACCCCCTAGATTGCTCCGCACCCCCTGGCTCACAGATTCCCTGATTCTCGTGACAGTGTAGTAGCGGAAAGCATTCCCACTTACACACATTTTGTTCAAAAAAATTCGGCGTGCCCACCCTACTTGTATTGCACCTGGGTATGATCTCGAGACGGAGGAACATTGTGCAGTATCGACCGATTTGTGTGGCGAATGCGTTTGGATCATAGTCACGGTACGCTTGCTGAATTATGACTGGATGGCTTCTGTGACTCATTTGTCATTTTGTTGCCTGGCAGTGCATCTGAGATTGTGCCGTGGTGTCTTTTCAACTCCATTTCCTTGCCAGTATCTTGGATCTCCTGTGTTACTTTCTTGCTCCAAGAGGTCAAGAGAGTTATTTCGGGCGCTCATCCGGTAAGGGGGGGGGGGGGGGCATTGTGATGCAACGTCTAATGGCTGCCCTCACCCCCACCCCCCTGAACTGGCTTCACTCCCCCTGGCTCACGGGGTCCCGTACTTCGAGAAACCTGTGCGCCAGGGGGAGTGTAGGCAGTCTAGGGGGGGGGGTGAGGGCAGCCACTTGATGCCCCCTTACTGGATGAGCGCCTTATTTCGTGTTGCTCAGATTGGTTGTGTTCTGGATTTGTTGTAATCAGTGACTCAGTTACTACCCAAGAATGTCAAGTGACTGCCCTAACCCCACTGTTCAGTAATACCCTTTGTGCACCAGTGGATCCTAAGGTGGCGGTCTACGCAGGAGTCAACCTTTCCCCTCAGTAAGACTGTGAATGGCCACTATATTCTTCTTGAGGTTTCCAATCGCAAGTTGTAGACCTCACCTTGTCTTTCACTGCACTGTACTTTACTATGTGTCACAGTTAAGGTGTTTCATGCACTCCTTTGTATGTTCGGCCTCCACCTGGCTCGCACAATGTTCCTCCGTCTCCGAGAGATCATACCCATACTTGCCAAGACGCTCCAAGCCTTTAACCCACCCCATTTTTCAAACGTTTTGCGCGTAGGCTATAGCGCAGTGTGTGCATTGCCGCGGCGGTACATCTTATTTGACGGCGGCGCCGCCTCCTGTCCCTAGTGACGATCATTGAGGGTATTAGGTTTCGATTTGATATTTGCCCTTTGCCCGGTTGTGCACCTCTGATTTGTATTTGTCACGTGTTCGTTCAGGCCCTGTGCTGTTTTATTTTTTCCATGAATTATAGTACAAATGGTGGCGAAGACGGCACAAAAAAACGGCATCCTCAATCGTCACAGTAGATGCGCTCCGGAAAGAGACCATCACTGAGGTAAGTGTAATGCTTCATTTCATGACCCATTCCTATGTAGCCTAGTGATTGTTGCTATGCTCTCAATTCTATCACATTTAAGGTTGCCTCTAAATTTTGGGCGCCGTTCTCAAAAACGCATGCACCATATTCCGCTCCACTTGTAGATACGATTTATCAACATGAAATGATAGACACGCACTTCAATCCAAGGAAGATCATAATGCTAGAGTTCAGGTACACTGACTTCAGTTCCGAGTTATGAGTTCTGCTTCACGATCTCTTTAACTTTGGATATATCAGACGTAATCACTAATGAAAGAGAATGAAATTATCAAAATTTTAGCACATAACCCAGCGCTTTTATTGGGGGGGGGGGTGTTGGGAGGATAATCACATTTGTCTTGGTGAAAGGAGGGAGTTATAGATGGAGCCAAAGGGCATAGTATGGAAATGAAATAGCGGCAGAAAAATATAGCGTGAAGCTGGAGTGTGTCCGGTTCAACTATGTTTCATGACGTAGTTGACTTCGACTAATAGGTAACATACTAATCAAAGGGGGATCTATGAGTTTGTACGGCCTCAATTATATGGGGGTCGTGATACCGCGCCCACTTCCTTACGCGATTTCATCATTCTGCTCTTAACTAGAACTATTTGCCATCACTACGCTGCGTTCCCTCAAACGTGGAATTCGAGGCTCCTCTCCGCACTTGAGGACAAAGTGGAAGCTTTTGGCTTCTCATCATGAGACCCAAAGCAACTAACACACTGTCAGTACTGGTCAGTCACCAATTTCAGAGAGGGCGAATTGCTGGTAAATTATGAGTGTCATCCCATTCCTAGCTTATTACTTCGTTGCCGTTGCAATTGTGGAGGCGTGATTCATTTTGCTGTAGCGGTGTAGTGTTGTAATTTTTTTTCAGTCAGTATCTCGAGTGTTATCTGTGGCCAAATTATACTGAGCAGGCTAGTATACCTCATGTGATGTCTATCGTTGTCATGTTGAACGAAAAATTCAGAGAGAGAATTGACGCGTGGCAGGTATTGATTTTATTTATGTGTTTAGCTGTTTAATATGTTTGGGGAAACCCTAGCGATTTTCATCTTTCAGTGTTTTGTGAAGAAGCCAGAACATTTTCCTGGATTCATACACCGAGTTTTGGAGTTGTCATTAGACGAAAACTCGCGAAGCAACGCTGAACAATGTGCAATCATAACTTTTCTCGTGAATAGTTTCAATTCTGTGGTAAGTTCTAGGGAATTCATCGATTCTGCTTTTTTCTTAGAATTTAGTTGAAGTAAAAATTTTTAGGAAGTCGATATTGTTCGCGAGCAGATGAACAAACTCACTCATATATCGATATGGACAAATTTACTTCCAAGTCAAAGGGAGGATATATTTGCGGGTAGTAAGGTGAGTAGTCCGCTTCCGACGATGAAATGAAGCTTTGCAGTGGATACTTTCGCAGCATACGTGGCTTTACAGTAGTGAATTAGAGCTACTCCGAATCAATTTGCCTCATTTGCTGCATTTTATGGCCCTTATGATGGTGAATAGTGGGCAGCATACGTGACATATAATGGTAGGATCAGTTACTGTAGGCGCATCCCATCCTTTTGTTAAGTTTTCAGAATCGTCTCCCCCTAGTCGTTAGAGTGACTTACTGTGTGAGCGCCCATCTAAATCTATTCTGTCCATTTATGAAAACAACAGTTTTATCGCGGATATTGCAGATTGGTCGAATAAAAATCATCTTCCATCTATTCAGAAGCTACGAAAGTACTGGACAAATTTGTCGAACAAAATCGCAGCTCAAGATGCCGAAGACACGGAAGAGTCTCGTAAAGCCCGATTTGAGAGGAACTATCTATGGAATCTCATAGCCCGTTTTAAGCGCACTCTCGATCGCGTTGATGATGAAAGCAAAGGTTTGCTGTGTTCACGAAGTACTCATTGCTCTGTATTATATGTATATTTCACTCTTATATGTTATAGAAGTTGACTTAGAAGAAATAAGATACTGTGAACGCTTCATTGAGCTCGTTACCGATTTAGAGGCATTGCTTCCAACAAGGTACACCTGCATTTTTATTTATCGGTTTTTGCTGAAATAATGTTATGGGTTTCACTGCTTACAGACGGTTCTTCAATGCTGTGCTTCATTCTTCGAAGTTAATTACACATTGTGTGCTCTCAAAATTGATCTCTTCGGAAGCGGGGTCGCTATTCTGTCAGCTTGTCGAAATGCTCAAATTTTACGCTCGCTTCGAGATTAATGATATCACTGGGCAGCAACTTACACATAAGGAGGTAACCATATTGCTTTCATAAGAGGCGCCATCGCCCGAATTCGGTTACCCATGTATCCTCTTATTCACTTTCACGTGGTTGTCCTCTTGGAGCCAATCAAATGCTCTACTTCATTATAGGAAATCTGGAATTTATATGTGACTCTAAATATAAATGCAGTTTTCTTCTCCTAGGTTTCCGATAGACATTATGAGCACGTCGTCAAATTGCAGAAGGCCGCCTTCAAGTTTTTTAGGTGGGGTTTTTTTGTCTTATGCTAATCATGCGTAAGATGTAATCATATACAAATGTTAGGAATTAATACGTTTACAGAGAAAGCATGCCCGATTTCTACTTGCTCAATGTTGGAAGTGTAGACACAAGGAAAGCACTCATGAAGCAGTTCGGATCAATGAAGTAACCTCTAGGCATAATATTTCACATATAAAAGCTATTGTTAACGGATTCTCAAACAGAATTCTTTTTTGGAAATGAGGAGCATTTTCTTTTGTAGAAAGTCCGACATATACCGATTTGCTGAGTATCTCCATCTGGTTCCCCCAATCGACAGTGAAGAATCAATATTGGACAAGTGTAGCAAGGAGTTTCTTACGGAAACTATTGTAAGGATTTCATTAGGCACTTTCTGGTCATGTTTGTAGGTTTTGGAATAAAGGTCTAGATACTCTTGAATCATTGCGGTGTCAACATTGCAGACTCTCCATTGTGAGCGGCGGGTTAACCAGTTGCAGCAGCTCAACGAGCAACCGCTATATCCGACCGAGCAAGTGATTTGGGATGAAAACGTTGTTCCATACGAAAATTATTCCGGCGAAGGTTATGCTCATCTTTGAATTATATTTTTCATAGTGTTGTCATTTTTATTTTCATTTTCTCATTTTAATGGAGAATTTTAGGCGTTCTTGCGCTGAACAAGTTGAATTTACAGTTCCTGACTTTACACGATTATTTGCTGAGGAATTTCAATCTCTTCCAGTTGGAGTCAACGTGTGGGTCTTATTTTATAATTTTTTCTGTTTGCGCAATTTACTTTATGTCGTAGTTGTGCATGCTTTTCATCAGTTTTTGAAATCCATTCTACATTATGCGACGATCTTTCCAAACGTATAGTGGATCATGGCTAATCTTGTTTAGATGGAAGTCACGGTGATTTTCGAAGGCTTATTCACTGGTGCTCTAAAACCTTGCACAAAGAATAGTGTCTTGCAAAACATTGCCACTGCATTAAAGTAACAAAATTCAGCAAAAGCTGTTTTTGTTGTGTACTTGAAAGTACGAAGCATTGTGGCGTCTTTTGATGCAACACGATCTGATTCTACAGATTTTTGGGCGAAACCTTTCGGTCTGGTGGCTGTCCACGCTTGAGGCATCTTCTGGCAGCTCCAAGAATGCCTCTGTTGCTATAGCGTTCATCTTCGGCAGTTGTTAATACTTGCATGATTTCGTTTTTAACAATATCTCAACAAATGCGTCTAGGGAAAAATGTCCTCATCAGCAAAATTCTCAGTGTTTGCTAGCAACCGAACCGTATCCTAAACACAGCTTTCTTCAGATGAGATTCGGCAGGACCTCGAGGATGTGCTATTCCGTATGAAACCATGGCGACACGAGTCTCGCAATGAAACCATTTGGGGCGGATGGGCTCGTATGGCTCTTCTTCTTGACTCATTTCAAATCGTCGAGGTATATTACTGTTAACATGTTTTGATTTCCTCGATCATTTTGATCATTCATCGCCCTTTTATAATAGGTTGGAAAGCCTTTCGTTGGCGACAAAAGCCCGTCAATAGTAAAGGGCGAATTCGCTGTCAATGTTGGTCGTCGAACGGACATAAAGCAAGAGTGGGAAAGTGAGCCATCTTTTCCTCTGGGAATATTGATTTTATACGATTTTTGTCGTGACTTATGATATACCTTCTTTGGTGTGCTTACGACATGTATACAATCGCTTCATCGATAGATATTTTGTGCTAGGACTTCGATTTTCTGAAACTTTCTTCCACATTCCTTGAATCGCGCATTGCATCAACATGATGCAAGGGGGCGTGGCAAAGCACACCTTATCGTCATGATCGTGCAATACTGCCAAACAGGCTATCCTTGACTTCATTTCGCTTAATCTGGCATCCTTCGTCGTAGGCGCGGCTTTTCTTGGGCATAGGTTTATCTTCTCTTCATGTAACCTTTCCTTCATGTCTGTCTTGTGCTCAGATTTGCGGAAACATGATGTTTGCTTCTTGGTTACTTGTCGTTCTACGCAACCAGTTGGCACTAAGTATGACGTCAGAAAGCCCTTCAAAGACCAGATTCAGGTACAGCACCAGCCTTTATGTTTATTTCAAGTTGTAAAAGTAGCAGCTACAATTCTAGGTTACATATGTACGCGGATGTGAGATAGAAGGGATGATGGACCAAAATGGACAAGTAATTGAGGAATTCGGTAAGTTTCAAGTTAGTTCAATTAAAACGTAGCTATTGTGTAACAATTTGGTTCGGGCGTTATCTTTCTGGTTTAGAGGCCTACGAGAAGAGGCCACAAATCCAAGGTGATATCCGGAGATACCGTGTGTTCCTAGATCCAAATCAGTATAGGATAGATATGGAGAATCGTGTCGAGAAGGGCGCAGAGGTACTCCATCATTTAACAGTTCTTTTTTAATCTTTTAAGTGAAGCCAGGGATGAGTTGCGATAATTCTAATATCTTGAGGATGTCTACTATACATTCAATCTTGTTGTTCGACGGGACCCGAAAACGAACAATTTCAAAGCAGTTTTGGCAACCATGCGACAGCTGTTGAACACCGAATGCGTTGTGCCTGATTGGTTGACTGATATTGTTCTAGGCTATGGCGAACCCGACTCAGCTCATTATTCAAAGTCAGTATTCCATTTATTGAAGCTCTTAAAATCACATTGTTTATATTCTGACGGTTCTTTACGCGTTCATTTGAACATCATAGGATGTTCATTTTGTCACGGTGTAACTTCACTGTTCACTACGTTTCTGTATCGATTGAAGTTTCACTGCACTTCCCTTTAAGGAAGTTATCAATGCCGTTTTCGTATCACCACGTATGTCGTTCAGTCTAGTACAACTAGTTGTGGTTGCATAAGGTAGTGTGAGGGGGATTTTGAGAAAATCTTCAAGATGCAGCAACTTTCAGCAGTAGCTGATAAATGACTTTTTTATGGCTTGCAAATGACATTTACTTGAAGAAGTCGTTGAAATCCCAATATTTTTTTAAAACTTTTGTAGGATGAGCAACGTTGTACCTTCTTTGGACTTCAACGATACGTTCCTCTCGTTCGAACACCTGAAAGAGTCTTTTCCGGACTATCGAATTGAGGCAACCGCTGAGGACGGCAAAATGGTGCCCCCATTTCAGTGAGCTCTTTTTTTTATCAATTTTCCTAGTTGTTCAATTTTCGTGGATTCATTTTATTTGATCTCAGACTCACCTTCAAAGATCTCATACGTAAGGGCGGAAAAGAAGGAGAGAAAGCGATTGAGGTGACACCTCTTATACGTGAAGCTCAAACTCCTTATGTGAGCTACCCAAATAGGAACCAAGTGAGGTTCACACCTGCTCAAATTGAAGCTATCAAGGTGAGTGGAAGTTTCTAATATTATCGAGTAAAATTCAGAAGACGATATAACCGTACTATTCTAGTAATCAAAAAAGAAAAATCAGTATAAACGAAATGATTAAAATGGTTCGTTTTTGCGCCTTACGCTGTCGTGCTTGTAACATGTTTCTTAGGGAGTATATAGCCCCAACTTAGCTCCATCCGCATTCCTGCGAATTCTAGCCATCATTAAAATTTGACCCGCTAGTTGTGCTCACTTTTCCAGCTCTGGGAGCTATCTTCGAACTTAATTATGGGGTTGATTTCTTCTAGCTCCACTTGTGAGGTTTCAAGCAAATCTCTCCCACTCTAGTGCTAATTCATATCATCACTAGGGCTCCCCTCCTTCGCTAACCCACATCTTTTTTTATCGGTTTCTGCGCTTTCTCATAATCAAATTATGTGGGTTCGTAGAAAACCTATCCCCTTCAAGGACAATTGTACCTAGAACACAACATTTTCGTTGTTCTGATACGGAAATTGTCATTTTGGTTTCCCACGCATCCTATTTTTGTGCATGTCGCACCCGTGTAGACTTTGCTTCGTGGCTCATGCTTCACTCTTTCGGATTGACGCTGCCTCTCCAGGTTCCTCTCCGCGTAATGGCGAAGTTTTGACAAGCACACACTGAGTCGGTTACTTGGAGTTAGTAAAATAGGGCAATGGCTCTTTTGAGAACCAAAATATTTCGTGAAGAACTCTGCAGTTTTGTTTGCTAATGGCTTCACTTTAGGCCGGTATGCAGCCAGGATTGACAATGGTCGTTGGGCCGCCTGGTACTGGAAAAACCGATGTGGCAGTACAAATCATTGCAAATATCTACCACAACTGGCCCCAGCAAAGAACCTTGATTGTGACTCATTCTAACCAAGCTTTGAATCAACTTTTCGAGAAGATCATAGCTCTGGATGTCGATGAGAGGCATCTTCTCCGAATGGGTTTGTTTTGCTGCACTTATTAGTGATTTTTCTTCTCTATTGTTTCGGGACATAATTGGAGTATTGGCCCTTAGCGCAATTCCACGCGTACGGTCCTGTGATTAAATCTTCGGTCTTCGCCATTTTCTGTTATATACTTTCGTGCATATTTCAAGTTATTTCCAGGACACGGTGAGGAAGGCTTAGAAACCGAAAAAGATTTCTCACGCTATGGTCGTGTCAACCATGTGCTCAAGGAGCGGTTGAGATTGCTTTCTGAGGTAATCCGCGGTCTAATCTGTGACTAATTACTTTTTTCGGTGCCTCTCTAAAGTCCGCTGTTTCATTGAAGGTTGAGCGACTTCAACATGCGATGAATGTTATCGGGGATGTATCGTACACCTGTGAGAATGCTGGACACTTTTTCCGCTTCACGGTATGTTTGTGGTTATCAGCTAAATGTAAGCTGCATTTACTAAAAAACCTGATGCACTCTGATCGGCTGAACCCTATAGGCTAAGGTTATCATTTTCCAGTAGGTTTACTCGGAAGTAGGACTATGAGAGGTTCTTACCTGTTTTATCACAACAACACAAGAGTATGAAGGCAAATTACGAGCATTCAATTCGGTCGCTTCCTATTAAATCAATGACGGCGTCAAGCGTGCTGCTTTTGTACTCCTCTCTTCTTTACCCTTGAGCCTTTCTATAAGAGCTTTGTCAAGTCGGCTAATATTTTCAGTCTCTTTGAGTTTTATATTACAAAATTTTGTGGCCACAAATACACTAATCAAACAATTAGCGATAATTTTTCATCTTGTTACATTTTTCACATTTTTGATTCTACCCATTTAGGTATGTCGCGCATGGGACGATTTCATGGAGAAATGTGCGATAGAAAAAGATGGATTGGTGGCTGAAATATTCCCGTTCACTGGATATTTCAGTGATATTAATCCATTGTTCAGCGTGAGTATTATAGCATATGAACTCTCGTACCTTCATTTGGAACAGCTTTCGCTTTTGGATCCTCCGTCATGTTTCGAATTATTTTACAACGCATGTGCTTGTCACATCAAATTTTAGGGCTCTTTCAAAACAGACATGGAAGTTGCTCGTAGCTGCTGGCGACATATTAATCACATTTTCGAGCAGCTCGAAGAATTCCGTGCGTTCGAGCTTTTAAGAAATGGTAGAGATCGAACAGAGTATCTATTGGTATGTACAGTTTATTTCTCACTCGTCAGCTCACAGACCTGTTTTCCTTTAGATGGTAGCTGTTTTAGGTGAAGGAGGCTAAGATTATTGCAATGACTTGTACTCATGCAGCGTTGAGAAGAAATGAGCTCGTGCAGCTCGGATTCCGTTATGATAATATTCTTATGGAGGAAGCAGCCCAAATATTGGAAGTCGAGACTTTCATTCCATTGTTGTTACAGGTGATTTGCACTGTTTTCATTATTGCTGACGAAATGAACCAGGAGAGGGAATTAGTATATTTTGTCACACGCTCATAAAGACATGTAAACGACACATCACATAGTAATCCTTAGACACCTTGAAGGGATAACATTAGCCTAAGACATGTAAATAAAATGTGAACGAGGACAAAGACCAGCACTGTCAGGAAAAATCAAACAAAAGTAGGTGAAAGGAGGGGTCGCAACATTTGAACTGATTGAGAACAACTAGAGGCATAGATTGCTTTTCATGGAAAGTCGGGTCTTCGAGGCACCGACACGGAATGCTATGTAATTTGTTATGGAGAATTATTAGCAGCTCTCAATTTAGATTCCTTTGAACCAGGTAGGTAAGGCAAATTTACTGTTTACAATAACTGGCATTTGGTTGAGGTTTTAAGGGCAGCCATGCTCATGCAATCCTACTCCGGTTAACACTGGACACTTTCTTGTTTGTTAGAATCCGCAAGATGGTAGGAATCGGCTGAAGCGCTGGTGTATGATTGGTGACCACCACCAGCTTCCGCCTGTAGTGCAAAATCAAGCGTTCCAAAAGTATTCCAACATGGAGCAATCACTGTTTGCTCGATTTGTTCCGACTAGGAGTTCCTAATGTGCAGCTTGACAGGCAGGGAAGAGCACGGGCAGAGTGAGTAAGTTCGATCGAATATCCTGGATTTATCATTGATGGTTTGACGTCGACAGTCCATTCTCACTCAACTGCCTTCTAAGATCAAGTAAGAACCTGATAGAATCAATTGGGTACCGACTGCTAAGACCTCGGTCAGACTCGGCGATTGCGTCGCTGTACACCAGCGACGGAATCGCCGGCGACGGAGCCGCCCGGCACAAGAGTGGCAGCAACGGGCGATGACTCATCAGCACACGATCGATATCGGTTGGCAGGGGGAGATTAATCATCCTCACCCATCGTTCATGTTGCTCCCCCTGCCAACCGATATCGATCGTGTGCTGATGAGTCATCGCCCGTTGCTGCCACTCTTGTGCCGGGCGGCTCCGTCGCTGGTGTACAGCGACGCAATCGCCGAGTCTGACCGAGGTCTAATAGCGGAAACATTTCGATGCAAGAATTGCAGGTTGTTGGGCTTTTGAATTTTTATGCTTTCGGCGCTAGACACCTTTTTCGACTGGTGAACGTGCGAAGTTGATTAGTTTGTAATACATAAGCTGCTGTGGATCTTGTGAATATAAAATGCTTCAGGATCGCCGCTCTGTACAGCTGGCGCTACAAAAATCTTGGTAATCTTCCGCATGTCGAAGCTCTGCCGCAGTTCCAGGCAAGCTTACACTTCTGTTCTGCAGAGTCTGATATTGCAATTACTTATCCTTTTCGGTGAATGTTTACTGAAATTGAGTGGATAACTGCTACGTTGTGGATTAATTTGTTGGCTTAAAGACTGCCAACGCCGGTTTTGCATTCAACTATCAATTGATCGATGTGCCAGATTTCAATGGACAAGGAGAATCGCAGCCGAGTCCATACTATTACCCAGGTAGATGATTTGCAGGCTGAATCTCCGGTTTGATCTATTGAGAATTGAATTTATCTAGAATCTCGGCGAGGCTGAATACGCGGTGGCATTGTTCACCTACATGCGTATTATTGGTTATCCAGCTGACAAGATCTCTATTATTACCACTTACAATGGACAAGTGAGTCATCACTGATATTTGAAGCGAAGTGCACGTAATAACTTCTACTGATGGGTTTTTCATAGGCGCAACTCAATACGCGGCGTCGTGGAGCAGGCGCTGTGCGAATTAATCTCTTATTGAGGCTGCAACAAAAGTGGGTGGATCATATCGTTTTGCATCGTGCTTGCATGCTTTCTTTTCTTTATTATGTTACTTATAAAATATAGGAGGGGAATTCTTCACGTCCCGAATTCAAGCCACTCACAACCTTCAAGAATATACTCATCGCTTTTAAACTTCTTAAGGACTCACCCACCCTATGCATATCGTGTTGAATAGGAATTGTAAACGTTACATATCGTCATATTTTAAGCTGGTCCCTATCTGGGGCTTGTTTAGGCAAATACGGCACTTACAACTAAAAGTGGCACATATTGGGGGTGTCTTGTTGGTGCGGGAAAGGGGGAAAGGGGCAGAGCTGGAGAAAATCACGGTTAAATGTTCAGATCAAATATGGAAAGACTACGTCCTTTAGATAACGGGGACATGGTACTGCCAACATTGCTACTTGTACATCAAAGGGTAGCTCGTTTACTTTCAGTTTATTCCTTCTTTTAGCACGACGTGATTTGAGGTAGGGGGAGATGGGTTAACACCAAGACCTTCGGATTGGTGCAAAGGTGGTACGGCTTTATTTTCATCGAGGATAACATTCAGTCTCCTTCTTTTTTATTATACCAGATTAGTCCCCCGTCAACCGCCGGGACCTTCCTTTCCTGCGCAAGCTTTCTATCCTCCGCTATGGTCCCTTCCTCCTGTGACACCAACACCTCTGGAAGTGACGCGTATGCAACACAATGGTGTTTCAAACAGTAGAAGGGACACAATCATGATATGACGGTAGATTTTTCGCTTCCCTTCCTCATCCTCCCTTCCTCTCTCCACTGCCCTCCAGCTGCCACTGCAGCACCATGTGGAATGAACGGAAGTGTGCTAAGCAGGTGTTTATATAGCCCCTAAGAGTGTTATCACAACTATCCTGCTACAAAACATTGATATCTCAAATCCTGTAAGCTACCCGATTTGTTAGCGGTTTGTTTATCCCATGAGCTTCCTTCTCACTCACTTCATTTTGCGGACGGACACACATACATACATACATACACACACATACAGATACACAAACCGACACACAAAGTTAGCGCTTTATAAAATAGAAGGATAAATTATAGGCTGTGTCAAAGTGGCAGCAATCATCTCAGGTTCGCTGATTTGCAAGCGATTTTCGCGATTTGCGCGATTTAGGCGATTTACGCGATTTGCGATTTGCGCGAAACCTGCGATGGATCACAGGAGTTGGAAGTGCCCGATACTGTGAACTGATAAAGTGATACTGCGAGGTGCTGTTTAATCCTGCTGCTAATTCTGCTTGACAGTGAAGATTGAAAGACGACTGTTCGAGATTCTACTTGTTTCATGTTCAATGTCTATCAGTTCATTGAAATGCTCATGATTCGGATCGCAAAAATTGCAAGTGCCCCATTTGAACATTTGAAACACTGAATATCAACAAGTGGAATCATGAGGCAGTCGTCATTCAGCCTCTTTACATTTAAGAGAAACGCACTTGCAGTATTGATGGACATTTTGGTTACCGCCGGACCCGTCAAGCGAAATCTGCGAAGAATGCGCAAGGCGCGTAATCGCCCAATCGAGTAAATCCAGACGAAAATCTGACTGAAATAACGCGCGAAACCTGCGACGGATCGCGGACTCTGACACCAGCATTAGAGAGATCTGAACTCACAAGTCTTCCGTCACAGGTCACAAGTCAAGTCACAAGTCACAAGTCATTCACCTTATGAAACTTAGCTAGTAAAAAAATTTTTGCAGGTTTCTACTGTGGATAAATATCAAGGTCAACAGAACGATTATATCATTCTGTCACTGGTCAGGACAAACAACATCGGGCATATAAGGTATGTGCAAAAGAACATATTCGCGAGATAATTAAACCGTGAAAACCTAATACAAGGCGCTCTGCAGTAATTGATCACACCTTGAATTTCGTCAAAATGTCGATCTCGCAGTCCCTATGGCGCCTTGGAATGTGTTTTTGAGCTAAAACAATAATTCGAGGTAGCGGGAAGGTATGAAGTGAGCGTTTAGATCTCCCCAGAGGAACAGCACTATTGGCCGGCCCTGAGCATTGGGGGGTGGACGGGGTGGACTTTCGGTGCCTGGGAAGATCCGACTTCCAAGTTTCATTCGTGGCGTACTACTCTATCTATACGAAATAAAACTATATTTCAAAATTTTGTTTTGCTCGTGGATTAATTCGCTTCAGAGATGTTCGTCGTTTGGTAGTAGCTCTGTCTCGAGCTCGACTTGGCTTTTATGTGTTGTGCCGAGCCAGTCTGTTCCGCAACTGCTTCGAGCTAACTCCTGCATTCAATATTGTACGTACTAGCCTTCGTTAATTTTTGAATAATCGCCTATATATTTGGCTTTGTGTTTTATTGAAATGACTTTGCAGCTATGCCAACGACCTCCACGATTGCTTATTATCCCCAGCGAGCCATATCCTACACAAAGGAAGGTGGGCATGGTATTTTAAGCCAATCTTTCTATATTACAACACTTTTTATAATAATTGAATGTTGCTGGTTGTGTTCAGAGTGGAGAGCAGCCCAGTGGTGAAGTGATAACAATTGAAAATACCGTGCATATGTCAACATTTGTGCATGACTTCTATGTAAGCAATATGGATTCAATGCGTGTCAACTACGAAAAGGCAATGGAGGAGTATCGCCGCCAAGTGCAGGTCTGTGAAACAAACGCTATACGAACGCTGGTCGGCAATTATTGGATGCCAGTTTTTATGTCTTCGTTTGAATTCGAAGATGTTCTTTGGAGAGAACAGTTGCTGAATCAGGAATTTTCAGCAGCTAACGCTTCCACCTACACCTGATGAACCTGTGATGTCGGAAGCCGAACGCAAAGCTGAAGAGAGGAAAGCAAAGGCTGAAAAAGCGCCCGAACAAGAAAAGGATATTATGTTTGAAAGCATGGACTTTGAAAGGCTCGAGGAGGTTCCAAAATATTGAAGCTTGTTGTCAACTTTGTGTTACTTTCTTGTATTTAAATATTACTTATACCTGAACTAGCGTACTGGTACCATTTTGTTACGTGTGCTTGTTGTTGTTATTTTTTAATGCTTTTCGTATTGCGGTCGATGTAAGGTTGTTACTTTCGTTGTGTGTATGACTACACATTTCGGTGATTTCACTGTGAGGTGTTCATCACAAATCGCTGTCATTTGATGTTTCGTGGTCTCATTCTAAGTTGAATACAATTTAAATCTAATAATCTTGTTATTAAAGTCCTTTCAAAATGTATCTATGAGAAGTTCCCTCGAGTGTTTTTGTCGTCCTGCTTCATTGAATTGCTAGGGATTACAAATAATAAACATGATCTGGTCAGGTTTTGAGCTGAATCTGGCGAGGCGATGTACGCTGAGATACTGATTTTCGTTGTACTGCTGGCGGATTGCATGAAGTTCTCAGTTGTGCTCACCATTTTAACTTTTCTGCATTTTTGAATGGCTGCTCTTCCTAAAGTTGAATAAGTATACTCCCTTTGAAAAAAAAAAACGAGAAGAGCGTCGGGTGCAGACCATACACCACAAGTGACGACGGCCTCCACAAAATGTAAATGTTTTCTGCCAATGAAATGATTAGCCTGTTGCAGTTGTATTCTATCAGTTGTCACTAATTACAACTATCATTTACCAAAATCAGCTATCACTATGAACCACTACTAACCAGATTTACTTGGAGGCCGTCGTCACTTGTGGTGTATGGTCTGCACCCGACGCTCTTCTCGTTTTTTGAAAGGGAGGACAGGTGGTTCATTATTTTGCAGGTGGCCAAAAACCTCTAAGGCTCCTGTGTACTGTCATCGATAGATATGTGCGGCATATGGGCAAGGATGCAAAATGCACAGACATTTTTATGGACACCAGACAAGTGTCCTACTAGATGTCATCGCTGATGGAATATCGATTATGAAGCAGTTTACATTCCAGGCAATAAGAAGAAGCCGAATGCCTCGCTAGACTTCCCTGGTAGGTTCTATTTTCACATCTTTATTGGTCTCTACTTTATAACAGCTAGAAAATTCGCTATGTGAAAACGCATTAAATATCGATTATGCTTCAGTGAAAAGTTATTTATATGTACAATTCATGTGGTCGAACATCAATACATCCATTATAGGTTCGTAGGTTTCACAACTCCAAATCGTTTTCGATTGATGATGATAGGGATAGCTTCCCATCAGAGAGATTGCTGTAGTTCTGCGGTGGGAACGTAGGAGGCATGGAGTAGTAGGCCATCTGGAATGACTGGTAAATGAAGTCGTGGGGGATCCTGATGTTTGGGGTATTGCGATGATTCCTCCCATATTTGAAAGCACTAGTGATCAATGTGCTGAAATTACCTGTGATTGTAGGCCTGTGAGTACATTAGCAGTTCTGTGATATAAAAGCGCCTCAGAAAACACAACACTGTGCCATTCATCGCGTGGCCCAGCACGGTAATTCTCGAATCCTAAAATAGGTGATTCTGATTGGGACCACCACTGGGAGTCCAGCCCGATGATTCAAAAGACTGAAAAAAAGCCCCGCAAAGCTGTCTCGCGACTATTTCGTTGCAGTTCACGATAATCCCTGCCTTAATTCTTTTACCTTAAAAAAAAATGGATATAGTTTCCGTCAAAAACGGTTTAAATTAAACAATTAACGTATAAAAGAGCTAAATAGGCCAAAACCTCTACTTCAGGATCGTTTGACATTTCCCGAAAACGTCGCGGAAGAGTCACCTGGAGATGGTGATGACAGCGATGAAACGCTTGTGTTGGCACCCGAGGAGCCGCTCACAGTCTCATTCCGTCTTCCGCTCTCTCGATGCTTGCGCTTGTATCGTTGATTTTGGAACCAGATTTTCACCTGCATTTTTTGCTTGAAGAACTTCATGTCAAGAACAAATCCATTGAAAAACTGTGCTGTGAAAATGCTTGCTTTTGCATGTTTTCTTCTCGATCAATACTTTCTTAGAATACTTGCTGCTTTCACGTAGCACAAGACGAGAACAAATTTCTCTTTAAAGCTTCGTAATAACTTCGTATAGTTTGGTGAAGAGGTAAAAGAGGGTGCATCAGCAGCTAGTCTTGTGTTCCCCTACCACTGTATAGTGGATGTTTGTATTTCGTGGTATCACGCAATTCGTTTGCTTTCAAGTGGTCTTCCTTTGGTTCTCTACGCTTAATCAAAAAAAATCAAATAAAGACTACAAACGTAGAGTTTCATACAGTTCCGTGACCACCTTTTCGAGTATTCCACAAAAGATGTGGTCAAATCGGAAGTAGTAGGAAAAAAAGTCTCATGATAATTGAGATCTTATGAGCTTGGATAAAGGCTCATTCCAGCTCATGGTATCCTCAGTCACTTTTCGAATGATAGCACAAAGTGAATTAGTAGTACCTGTTCTCCAGTGAGGCCGATCATCTGCGCAAAGTTATCTCGCTCTGGCTGCCTTATGTGCTCCTTTTCAGCAAACCTGTAAAGTCAAGTTTATTTTTCGGTAGTAATGCCTGTTTGCAGGTCGAAGTAATTAACTGCCATATTCTTTTTATTTTTAAATTTTACGCACTACTCACCTGCGCTGAAGCATGTTTAGTTGCAATTTTGTGAACAAATTACGTTTCTTCTTATATTTCCCTCCCGACTGCATACCTGTAAGTACGGAAATGAGCTAGTTGTATATTTTCAAGCAGTGCTCTATTCTCTTCTTTTGGAAACCAGAAAAGATACCGGTCGCGTTTGGCCGTACCAATTGCGCCATATTGCGAATACGGTAGCGCGTGTTTTGCATGCTCATTAGGGTATCTGAAAATCGATCCGCTTATTGAAAACTAATGACCAGGGATGCGTACGCGCGGCATCCATTCCCTTAGTATATCAATACTGTTAATATTGCAAAGCTTCAATATCATCAAAACTTAAGGGAAATGCCTATTGAAAGTGGCCATAACTCCAAGAATGAAAGGTCATAGCTGTTACGTAGTTGGGAGATTGTTCGCTAAGCTTTGGTGGATGCTGCTGTCGGAAAATAATTGAACTAACTATAGCGAATCCCGAGAAAAAACTAACCCAGCTGTCCACCTCGCTGAGTCCTCGATAGCATAAATACCGGCTGGTGGCATAGACTACCATGCGCAGTGCGTCGCCACTGCCGGTAGCAGCACCGCACATCACAGCACAGTTTACCGGATTCCATCTGAAGTGAATGAAGCTTAAAAATCTGTAGCCATGTATGACTATTATTGAAAGGCTGAGCATAGAGAATAGTGCGTTTAGTAAGATATAATTGTGGAGTCGGCGGGAGAAAAATTCTATATTGAGTTTTTCAAGTTAACCTCATCATAAGCAGCTTTTCTAATGAACATACCGGAGAAAAAACTAGAGAGCGGAGGTGTCCAGATGATGACGTCCCGAAGCAGCACTTATGAGCAGTGATGGCAATTCTTCGTTCCCCGCCCATCATCCTCAATGTTATCGTCTGGTTACTGTGCACTAATTGCCATTGGCGCTCGCGGCCACCTGTGAGGCCCTAGGGCATTTCGTAAAGGACTCTTCAGTTATGATGGTTATTCAGAAATTCGAGTGCGCTATGAGGCGATTTTGAGCGGCTGAGTCTTTGAGAAAGGTATTTGAAGGATTCAAGGGAAATTGGCGAAGTATTGTAGAGTTGCACTGCTCGTCTTATAGCCTCTTCATATCTCTGAGTTGCACGTAACTGGACCTTTACGAAATTGAAGAGAAGTAATTATTAGAAAAGAACTGGGATAATTGTGAGCACAAGTAATCTAGCGCTTGGTTCTAATCTGTCTCCTTGGATAGATTTATAAGACCTTTTGAAATCGCGGTGGTTTATTAAATACGTGCTAGTCTTTACAATGACGTACATGTTCTAGCCAGCGTGGGAGTTAATATTTTTATTTCTCAAGCAAGTCTGGTGCTAATTAGTGATTCTGAAAGATGAAAGGATTGGTTGCTATGAGGCAATTGAATCCTAGATTTCGCCCCATCCCACGCGTGAGGCTGCTATATTTACTGTGCCTTGCTTTCATTCCGTATAAATTTGACCTGTAATTTTTCGGGCAGCGTAATCTGTCCCTATCGAGTGAATTTGAAGGGACGTTCATCTCCAGAAATTTTTAATCGTTCTTTTTGTTTACAATATGTCTTGACCTGCTTTTTTTTCGAGTATAATGTTTTTGCTTTTACTCTTTCCAGCTATTTGTACAGAATCTCTGCCAGTAACATTGTTTCTACTTTTACTATTTTCTTTCTTTCATTCACCGCTTTTGGCGTCTGATACAACCTGTGAGTGCAGCTGCACTCAGGCTATTCGTGTATAGATTCCAGTGTAACGCTCTTTTTTTATGAACCTTCATACGGTTTAGAGCCACATATGGTTGCTGTCGTTCTTGAGACTCGTTCTAATTTTTGCTTCTTCTCAAGGTGACAGGAACATGCAGCATTCTCAAGTACCATGGGACTAAATTACGTACTATTTCAGTTTAATCTGCAATTTCTGCAGTGATGGCCGATTACCTCCGCACAATCACAACAATAAAAAGTAGCTTAGGCAACGATTGTTTGGCACTGATCTTGCCATAGGCTAACATACCTTAAACCGCTTTGTATTGCCCATTGAATCGGATGTCTATGACATCACCACGTTGGTTTACTTTCGTGCAATTTGGTATTGCCTTCATCGTTGCATGGTATCTCAGACCTTGTCTTTTTTTACGACAGAAACTCTTTACTAAGGGCTGTAGAAAATCGGCTGTCATCAGGTTATCTGAGTTGACCTGTTCTAGCCTAGGTGAGATACAGGTGGCTGGAGGGAGGTTTTATGGCCAGTGCGACATAGTGAGGGTATTCGACACTTCCATAGATATGGACAACCTAGTTATGTCAGAGTTAGGGCTCGACTTTGGAGGTGTATACAAAAATATTATAGTCTCGAATTGGGCCCGAATAGGAAATTGCGCTGTATCTCTGAGTTTCTTTCATTTGATCAACCCAATGGGAAATATGGAGTTCGGATTGAGTGGGAAGCTGTTATAAGGTTGAACGTAGACACGTTGTTCGTTCTTGCCCGGGCTCAACCTACTGTTTGATTCAGTCAAGGTTTGAAATTTTAAAAGTATAATGCTATACTATCACAGGAAAAACTCGTATCAGTGCGTTTGATATCTGGTTTTTTATATTGCTAAATTTGAATCTATATTTATTAGTAATTCTAAATTATTTACAAGAATTTGGAATAAACCAGTCGAAATTTGTCCATCATTACTGGTGAAGGTGTGAATTGAAGGAATGCTAATACAGCCGAGTATAATTTGTCGGTCTCTTTGATGTGGCGCTCCCAAGAAAGTGCTCATAGTAGTTGCTGTAGGCTCTCAGCAGTTAACACTATAGTGGTAGAAGTCTCTTACAGATGTAGAATTGAGTGCAACGTGATAGGTCCAGTGTCGAGTACCAGATTTAACGCGCGCCAATGCATGACAGCTTTGATCCAGAATACCGCAGTTTACAACAATTCTCTTAAAAAACTTCTAAGCGCCTGAAAGTACCAGCGTCAATGCCAGAAACATCTGCGGCGTTACCTTGAAATGAAATGTTTGAGCGCATTTCGGCGTAGAGATTCTGCCATTTTTCTTTTCGTCACCTCATTCAGATCATCGCTTTGTTTTATTGTTTCTTTTAATTGCCTGGCAAGCTCTCCCCAGTATTAGGTATTTGTTGTTGAAATTTTGTTAGTTAAGTTGGATTCTCTCATGTGCCGAAGCACATGCAATAAATAAATTAAATAAGTATAGCTTAAAGGTTGTATACGTATTTAGTTTGTACAAAGGTTTGCTCTAGCCGAAAATGCTTCTCTTGTATTTTTTTCGTTGAACAGAATTGGCATGGATCATCTGGAGGGGGCAGAAAATCAGTATAGTCAGTGGGATCTAATGCCCAGAAAAGGTGTTCGATGCAGATAGTCAGTCGTTACAAAATCTCGTTACTTCCTTGACTGGTAAATGAATTTGGAGAATATTCTCAGAAAGAGGTGGGTATTCGATTTGAGAGTTAACTCTACGTGTGCTGTTGCCCGGTAGAGGCTCTTGCTCTGTAGGGAGAGTTCTCTCATTTACGTTTACTTGTCCATCTGTCTGAATATATAGGGATGGTTGAAAAAACACGTGACATCACCAAAACTGCCTCACACGGTTCTGTGATCGACACATGACAAATACATATTTCTAAAAGACCCCTTCATACGCAGATCCAATCCCCTGTTCACCATCTTCACCGTCTCTGGAATAAAACGTCATGGACGGAGTTTCCTCATCTCTCATTTCCTAAGCTCATTCGATCAAATGGTATACCATTGGCTTTGGCCATCAAGTTTAACGAAGTCTGCCGTAATTCTTCCAGCTTGAAGCAGCTACCTGATTTCTTCGATCGATTCACTGGTGGAAATCTTTCAGGGGCAGCGTGCTATGTAGAGTGCTTTTGATTAGCTGGCAGAATTGTCAGATTGTATCTGGCGAAGAAGTCGGTCCTAAAAGTAGAGGAAAATCCCTTTTTTGGCCTTCCTTGTAGTCGGTCATACGGTAGATCTCCGTGGGGGAAGTTAGGCGTTGAAGTGCTCCAGTTTCCTTATCAATCCATTTACGACCTACGAAGTGTTGCCTGACAAGGTGTAATGTTGTGCGGCTATGGAAACACCTTGCCAGGGGACGTTTTGCCTGTGGAGAAATGCTTGATGGTAGAGATTTCACGCAGGTGGTTTTACGCTAGACTAAACCTTGTTGAGAGTACTGGATTTGCCAACAATAGATACTTCGTTTTCTCTTCGACAAATAAGTGATAATATGTTCTTCAAAGTTTCAATGAACTGCCTTCTGCTGCTGCACATTGTTGTGGGTATGCCTCTAGCACCATCTCAGATATTGTCTTGGCCTGACCATTTAGTTCTTTCATGAAGGAAGCCAAGAAACTTCAAGCGGTGCTCAAGCTATCTTAGGTTCAGAAGCTCATTTTGAACTTCCGTGTACCTATCAGCTGGGATAAATGTTGCAGTTCTTTCTTTTGCTCATGAATTGCGCTGTGCTTTTATGTTATTATTGCTCTACTCATGAATTTTCTTTATTTTTTGTTTTTGCAGG